CATGAAAGAAAAGTCAAAATTTTGAGATTAAAATCAAATTTCCGGGAAGAAAAACTGAAGAAAACTTTGATTTGCTCTGTGGGCCTCATCCTCTTGCATGAATATAAATATCTCATAATTCAGTYGGAGGTTTGGGATTAGAATAAGGAAGTATTTTTTTTGTGATTTCCAGTCTGAATGAGACAAACAGATGACTGGAGGACACTTTCCTCCTCTTTAGGTGGTAAATATAAACAAATTAAATGTATGTTTTATTCATTTAAATGTGTTTGATTTATAAAAACTAACATGATCCTCGTGCTGCTTCCAGAGTTCTGTTAAACCAATCCAGCATACAGAGACTTAAAATAGAGCTGACGCTGAATAAATCAGTGTAAAGTTCTGTTCCTTTGTTCTGTTAAAGTATTAGTCTGGTTTTTATTTGCGAACCCCACGATGACGAGCAATATCATGCGCTGACAACACGCCGGACTGAGTTATTTCTGAAAATGTGTCTCGACCTGCAGATTACGGCACGGCGTTTCATGAGAAAAAAAATTAATGGAAGTCATCTGTTGAGCACTCAATTTGCATCTGGAGAAATGCCTCCCAGGATGCGAGTGGATGCAATTACAGCGCATTGTGTGCTCTTATTGCTTTGACTGGGCTGCTTCGCCATTTGTACATAAAATTATTATCATTTTTATAGAAAAAATGTGGTGGAAAAGCAAAAAAATTAAAAAAAAACCCTGCAGGAAATCTTCAAACAGCAGCTATTATATCAAGTATTTATATAGTTTTTCTACAATGTGTGCATATTGTTTGTAGGGAAGCAGTTATTAAACCATGGTTACTAATTTTCCAATTATTTCTCCGCTGACTGCACAAATGTTCTGATCTGTCATCATCAATCACGATCAGTTTTGTGGCGTCTCTCATTGACCCCGTCATCTGCTGTACCTGCTGCCGTCCTTTCACATTCTTTTCATCTCATTAATTTAACAGATTTCGTTTGTGCACGTTTTTGACAGGTTTCATTTTCCCGTCTCAGGTTTTTAAACGGCTTTTATCTGCGCGGGATTACGGACCGCCAGCTCATGCGTACGTGTAAGGCTGAGTAAACAACGCAAGGTTAATAACGCTCACCGAGACGGAGCGGTCGTTACCAACGCCGGGGTGTTTAGAGAGGAAGTTAAAGGAAAATTTAATTAAAGAAAAGTGAGATGTGTTTTTTTATATATATATGTATATATATTTTGTTCTACAGCCTTGCTGCTAACACAAACAAGCTTGAGATGCGAGGGTTTTGAACTCTACAAAGATGAATTAATCCCCTGGATGTGAGCGATACAACGTGTCGGTAATCAATCAAAGTGTAAAATTACCCACTGKGACAGCGGTCTATTCTCCTGCTCAGACCTTTCGCAGGTATTAATTCTTCTGGTCAAATCAGCTTCACTTCAATCCGCTCCGCCGCAAACAATCCATTTCTGCATCAAAAATGTCCTCAGAATGATTTTCTGTTCCTGAAATGCCTTTTAAATACCTCCTGTTTTACATCTGATCAACAGACAGGATGTCGACTCTGAAAACTACAAGTTAAGAGGATGAAAAATGATATTAGGCCGTGTTTCAAAGGTCTTCTGTTCTGTTATAAGAACAGTAATACTTGTGAACCCAGATGTACTTTGAGTTCTCTCTCTGGGGAACCTGCAATGGTGCACTTGWATTATTCCTATTTCTTTATTTGTTCCTTTATTTTTATTTTTTTATAATAAATACCAGAAAAGACAACGGAAATGTTAAAGGGSCAATATTATGTGTTTCTCAGGCATATATTTAAATACTATACCATAATAAAGTATCTATGTCACCTTTAGCTGTTATTAAAATGCTGTTTTATGTTTAAATAGAAAATAAACTTATCTTCTCATAACTTCCTCTTCTAAACGCCTTGAAATTGGCCACTGTCTCTTTAAGAACCACCTTCCGCTTCTGTCCCGTCCATTTCGGTGCCAGGGGGGATGCAGTTTACTTGGCATCTGAAAATACATTTCCTGAAAGGTATTTTTAATCTGAAAAGAGCTTCACTGAGTGAGAAGTAGTGTTGAGAGCAGCAGACAGTTAAGTTTCACTTTCAGTTTCACCCGAGAGCCTGCAGGAGTCATGGGCGGGGTGTGTGGGGAGAGGGGAGGGGGTGTGCTCTGCCACGAGGAAGTTTGGCTTAAAGACACGCCCCAGGGGAGTTCCTGGTCCCCACCTGTCGTTTTGCTCCTCAGCATGGCTTCCTAAAAACACTGCAGGATTTCTCAAACATGCAYGAATGAGTCARAGCAAGGCTTTGAGCCTGTTTTTTATGAGAGTATAACATTACAACATGATATAAAACTCAATAAAGTTGATTTTACATGATATTGCCCCTTTAAACTCTTGAAATGTAAAACA